TTTTTCAGCCTACTTTTTACTTCTACTTCTTACATTTTCACACAATTATCTGTACTTTCTTCTCATTGCATTTTTTAAAAAGGTAAATAGAACGTTGTTACTTTTATTTCATTTTTGCTTGTTTTCATTCCAGTTATAAAAAATAAATACTAGCCATATAAACTGTGTCTCCTAGATGGAGTGAATTTAATTGTGGTTTAATAAGAAGATTAAATAAATAAAGGTCTGATACCGTATTAGTTTGTACACAAACAAATCACGTCACACTCCAGCAGGACATAATCATTAAAATAAAAGGACTGTACTTAAGAAGTATTTATATTTCATGACTTATATTATTGCATTTGGCCGCAGCCCTCATATAGATTTTTATTTTGGAGAAAAGGTTTGGGCAGCCTTAATAAATTTATATAAACTGAAACAGCTAGACTAGTGCATCCTAAATTTAACATAAATTAATTATTTTAATACAACATAGTCATTTCTGTATTTTTTGGGGAGGTCACCTCCTAATAAATGTCATCACAGAAAATCTAACTGCTCATTTTAAATCAATACTTTTACTTTTAATACTTGAGTACAAAAAATATCAGATACTTTAAGACTTTTACTCAAGTAATATTCCTAAAGGAGACTTTAACTCGTACCAAAGTAATTTTTTTGGTACGATACTTCTACTTTTACTCAAGTATCACTTTGTGGTACTTTGTACAACACTGTCTGGAAGCGAGTAGTTGAAAGACAATGATACGTCCAAGCACTTTCAGCACAAACACGCCCAYGACCGTCTGATAAACCRCATAATAATTTCTTATGCAGAAGGCGGGTTGCAACAAAAAGAGGGGGAAGACTAGAAGTTTCGATTTTCGTCACGCAACTGCGACAGTGAGAGTCGATTTCAGCAGTTYGGRTGTAGTATGTGGAGACCTAAAGAATCTGCACCAACGTATGATCATGGTGGTATTATGGTAGACATTGTAATAGAAGGCTACAGCAATGTGAACTTTCTCCACCTTGTTTATTTGACCTGCTTGACCCCCAAATATACTTTCATTACCAAGTGCATCCTGAAGGTCCCCAAAACCTCAAAGCAAACCATCTGGTCTGCGCTACCCCAATGACCCCATGCTCTGCTGCTAAATCCTGATCATTCCCATTGCTGCTGGCCTGATTAGGTTCACACACAAGAACATAGATGATGGGGTGATGTTGGAAAGGTGATAATTATCCAAGTGAACAGAATGGGCCTGATGAAGAAGTGAATTTCCTGTCCAGAAGCAGTGTCTCGCCACCCTGACTAATCCCACTCTTCCATGGTCATGCTGAATATTTCCCTCTGTCCCAAATATGTTGGACAGCCAGGTTGACACACACAACACGCACACGCACACCCGTGCATTCAAGCTGTCCTGTTGTGGGAGGCTGTAAAACTAATGGCCGTGAATGTGAACATGATCTCCACCTGGCTCTGATGGCCATCCAGGTGTGCTTGATGAGCCATTGCTGTGATTATCAGCACGCTGCATTAGCACAGCTTGAAGCCCCTCAAGTAAATCGCAGAGGAGAGGCAAGCTTTTGTACTGCAGGTGGTCCCCAAACTATGTTAATGGGCTTCCACCTGCTGCTGGGTCACTGAACCCTCTGGAAAGCCCCTGCCGACAATCCTCTCGCTCCGTTAAAGGGAGACCGTTTTAAGAAGCTTGGTTAAAACTGGGCACRTGGGCAAAAAAAGTGTTCCGCAAGTCTTGGCAGGTCATTTATCATTTCTTCCATTCAGAACCAGACCGTTTAACTGCATTTTCTGGTGGGTTTTGTTTGGCGTGGTTGAAGACAGACACTTAAACTGCATCTAATCTCTCAGTGAATAAATACCAAAGCAGATTTAAAGGAGATATATCATGCTTTTTATTCCCTTTTTTTCACATTTAAATCATTCACTTTTGGTCTATTTAAAGTGGAACTCCAATGCTTTGGTCTGAATTTCTTTTTATTGTAACTCCACAAGCCCCTCTTTCACTTTGTTTCTGAGGCGTTATCTCAAAGCAGCTCGTTTTGAGGCTGTCTCTTTAAATCCAAACAAGGCTCTTCACACCCAGCCCCTTCCAGCTTCAAGATGAGTCCATTGTAGAAGGGTTTACGACTTTATAGCGGCGCAGAAACTTATTTACAAACTAATTAAAAGATGTCAACAAGGGAAGACTTTTCCAACCAGCCTTATATTTTGCAGTCAGAGTCTGAACTAAAACGAGAAGAGAATGAAGATGAAATTGTAGTTGGTAAGTTCAGACCTTATTTGGCAGTTCTGCTGCAAATACTTCAATGTAATACTTCAGAGAACGTAATAGAAAATAAACTGAACGGGTTAAAAAACATGACCCAAACAGAACATAAAGATATCTTAGCTGTGCTGCTGTACTAACGCTTAGCGCTGACTGTATTAAAGGCAATTTATGTTTGGATGTCGGATTGTTACGTAGCCTACAGCAAAGYGGTACAATGTATTTCTGTAGCCAARCACACACTTCCTCAAGACTGATTATTTCAGTGATGCAGATGTCATACCTATTACTGTCATATTTGCAAAGTTAGCCTTGCTCAAACAAATCTCGTGGCATTTTTGCAAGTTTGCCCATCTTGCTGACAGAATATTTCCTGCTGCCAGTTCCACCAGTTTGTGCATAGATGCAGCTCAGTGGTTAGAAAAGTAGATAGTCTCTACTTTAGCATACCCACCCCCCTTTTGTTTTTTTATGTTTATTTATGTGTTGGGGAAATTTCTTTTAAAATGTTGTTTATCATTTCTTACTACTACTAATAATGAATTTGAAGGGACAGGGATGTAAGTTGACCATTTTCTGGTGGCAATCACCACTGTTGAATGTAAAGGAATGAAGTTATAAGAGATTTTTACAGTGGCTATGTGTAATTAGATTATATACATTATTATATTGCATTGTTTTCAGGGTTTTTTGCATAAGGAAACCATCTCTCACCTCATCACTCATCAAACATAATGGATGATCATAAGATCTGGTGGTTGTGAAAGGGTTGAACAGTGATGTAAGAGGTTAGCACTGTTGCCTTGCAGCAAGATTATCCTTTATTTGACTTCTGGCTGGAACCTTCTGGCACGGAGTTGACATTTTATCCCCATGCATGTATAGAGTTTCTACTGGTTTTTAGTGTGAACGATTGTTTCATTTGACTGTATGTGGCTCTGTGATGGACTAGCAATCTGTTCAGGTTGTCTCCTCTCTCCCAATGACTGCTGGAGATAAGCACCAGAGATCCTGCACAGGGTATATGAAATTACAACGAGAGGATTTCTTGACGGCCTAGAAACTTTATCGGCAGACACGTCTYGTAAGGTTTGATTTCTGAGCGCYGTTACCACATGTTGCACAGGTACAAAAGCTCTCACACCGGGTCTCTTATGTAGGCCTTAGCCCACATTAGGGCAGCTGCAGGGCTTTCGCCACAGGCTGCCATAGAGCAAGTGTCCGAGGAATACGGACAAATAAGACGAGGCAGAAGGGAAGGAGTTGGCACAAATGTCCACTTTGAGAAAGCCCATAATGAGCACATTGTGGCTTCTTTGGTGGTGCTTCATCAACTCAGCAGTTAAATGCCTCTCTTTATTTAGCTCTCAAACTGTGCCGACTATCAACTGCACCATTAAGACAATGAACAATGGTACATTTACATCTCTCGCCGGGCGCAGCGTGGTCTCTTACTTTGTGATTACCGAGGCCACTCATTCATCTACCGTCACATTAGTCCGGACGAGGTTCAGATCAGTGCTCTGCTCATATTTTCATCTTGTGTGAGGAGCCTGGCAGCAAATTAAAAGAGAAAGCTGATGAGTGCCAAGGCCCTTAGTGTAGATTGAAAGTGTCATAAAATTTCAAGAGCTCTGCCACAGCCAATAGAAAAAGTGGATGGGGAAATTATAATAATACCGAGACTGACGAATAAAAAAAAAAGTTAAACAACTGCTTTACACACACACACACACACACAAAGTTTATGTGTAGCTGGTTTGTGTGCTCTTGCAAAAGCCTTAAAAAATTTATTCTTTGGGATATTTCTAGTTTTAAGGTGTTAGGCTCTTCTCGGTGATGCATTAGCTGCTTTATTTAAATTCCCTCATGCTAATCTGTGCTGCAGTGAGAGCACTCTGATTTCCACCTACACTTCTTGCTGTCGTTTCCTGCACCTTGTCCCCATCGATCAAAGTAATTTGCAAAAACAAATAAAAGTCATAAACTGGATTATGTGGCAAATTGCTCGACAGAAAGGCGTCGACTTGGTTAATAACGGCCAGAGTTAAATGCCTGCATTGAAAAGGAGGATGTCCTTGGCTTAACTTTGCCTTTCTTCAGACTCGGACGTCCTCCTGAACACTGGTCAGTCTGTGCCTCTGTGGATAAAAGGCGCTCTTGTGTCTCGTTGAGGTCTGAGCTGGGGGGACATGAYAGACAGAGCTGTTGTTCATTTATTTAAAAAAAAACTGGTTAACTCGTCAACGACCAGAATTAACTCGGCTCCTTCTAAAAATACGCGCCGGGCCATCGCTTTTGACCCAGCAGTAAAAGTGACCAGTGGAAGTGAACGTCCTTGCGGAAGGCTGGCGATTCTGGTGGCAACGAGGGAATTAAACCTCAGGGCGGAGAGTTACAACTACTGGAGAGTAAAGTCGTGCAGCGGCACAGAGGAGGGAACTGGTGGGAGAACGACACAAACTCAGCCTGTCCTATTAATTAGTGCAATTGGCATGAGTTCTTGCTCTGCCATCGGGGATGTGGGTGTGTGCTGTGATGGCAGCTAACTGACCTCTGTGAAAGAAAGAAACAGCTAAAAAAACTGCCAGGGTAGTCCTGGAACAAAGTGCACCATCATTTGCAAGCTGTTCTGTCTAAAATCTATTTGTTTYAATCTTGGACTTTGTTTGATGGAGTTTTGTCACCACTTCATTCTGTCTTTTCCCTCCTTCTTCCCAGAGCCCATGCGTCCGCTGCGAGGCCTCGTCGCCACCGACGTCCAGCCCAGGCAGCTGGCCCTGCAGTGGGAGAACCTGGCGTTCAACCTGACACGCTGCCACACCTACTCGGTGTCCCTGTGCTTTCGCTACACCATGGCGGGCGGCGGCGGCGGCCACAACACCACGGTGCGCGAGTGCCTCGCGGTGGAAAACAACGCCTCACGCTTCACGCTTCGTGATCTGCCACCGTACCACAGCATCCACGTCCGTCTGTCGCTGGCAAACCCGGAGGGGAAGAAGGAAGGCAGAGAGGTCACCTTTCAGACGGAGGAAGACAGTAAGTTTCAGCTGGAAGGTGCAGAAATGATAATAAGAGACGACAAAGGAAACCAAATTTTATCTAACTTATTAAGCAAGTTCAGAACTTTCGAAAATCTACTTAGAAGTAGCATATTTATCAGGTGTACTCATAAAGCTTACACTAAACATAAACTGTTTTCTCACAGTTTTTTACTAATGTAAATTTATGGTACAGATTGTTCACTTACTCTGTCTTTACTGTATTTTTTTATTTTGACAACAATGTTTCCCATAAAGTATTGACCTGGCAGGGGCTTTTGATCGCAGAATGATGATCGACAGAAGAAATATTACTTGTATTTATTAAAAGAGTGCAGCTTTTTTTAAAATAATGTAAAAATTTTGATTTTTTAAAATTTTAATTGTATTTTTCCTCCTCTGACTCTGCTGTGAAAAATATAATTACGTTATTTGACATGTACAGCAGGAGGGAGGGAGGAATTCTGAGGACTCATGCCCCGCTGCCTGGACACAGTATTTTAGTTGTATAAGAAATTATTGAAACTTATAGAGGTAGTACAYTTAAAAATAAAAGTCAAAATTTTCTCCCGTAAATAATATGACCCCTCAACTTTATGTATTTTTTTAGGGGAGGGGGTTCACCTCTTTTAGGGAGTTGGGCTGCCTTCCTTCTGCAGTGGTAGTGTGTTTTGTGGGCTCCAATTCAGAGGCAGTTCTAGGGGGCGGGGCCACAGGGGCATTGGCCCCAGCTGAAATCTGATTGGCCCCCTGAAGTGCCCCTATCCTGTCATTCATCTGTCCTTTACCTGGGGGGTGATGATGGTGWATGCAGTTCCATGTTCAAACACTAGTTGCACTAATGAGTCAAATAGTAAAGTCCAGAATGAATCAAGCTTACAGAATTATTCTCGTCTTAAAATGTGAACAATCCTGCGAAAAAGTCTTTCAACTGACAAATGATGGCTGGATTTTCTCACATGTTGTGTGTTTGAAAATATTTTAAATATGTACAGTAAAATGTATGAAAAACTGGTGAGGAGAATTTACTGTGCAAGATTTTTGGTACCACTTTACAACCAAGCTCCCCTTGGCCACTAAAGAGTTTATAGATAGGTTATTAATTCATTTGAAAAGTTTACACTTCATAAATCATTAATAAATGAAACTGGACAATTTTGTCTCTTCCTCGTCCTTAATTATTTCATAATAAACACTTGTTAATAATTTTAAAGTGTTTATAGATTAATTAAAAACATATCTATAAACTCTTTAAAAGCCATCTATAAGGGGGGCCTTATTGTAAAGTGGAACCTTTTTTTTAAATTACATTACATTACAAGTGTTTGAAGTGTAAAATGTATAAACTGGGAATTTGTGTGAAAGGATGTTGAACAAATACTTGGCCCCTCTATGGATGTTKTGGCCCCTTGATGGCCCCTTACTCAGAAAAATCCTAGATCCGCCACTGCTCCACTTTAATTAAATTATGTTGAAGTATCACATTTCAACACTTTGAGAGAGGGTTTTATTTGTCTCTTAAAGCATAATCTTTATGAAACTTTATCAAATCCCTTGTACTGGATGAAATCACTGCTTCATTATGATCAAGGTTTGCTTCATTCTCCCCCCTACACTTGTTTTATCTCAGCTTTTATGTCTCAATCATCTAATTGTAAATTTTTATAAGAGCTCTATTTAATTTAAATTATACCAAAGAGCATAGTTGAAAACCCCAATCCTGCTGCTTCGGTCAGCTGAGGAGACACTGTTCTTCAGTTTATAGCCATCAAGCAAACTCTGAAATGGATGATGACAAAGAACTGAAACGATGGAAAAAAATTTTTCTTTGTTTTACACCTGTTATAGTCTGAGACACCAAAAGAAACAACCATGACTTTTAGAAATGTGTAAAAATCGCAAAAATGTATTTTTCCCAACTGCATGAGCAGGGATGAATTCCAGCTGAGAAAACKTCTCTCACTCTGACTGGTACAGGAAAACAGAGTTTGTCCTCCCAGTTAATCGTTTGAAGAAATTATACTTTAATGCCAAATAAAAACAAAAAAGCAGATCCAGCATTTAAACAGGCAAAATGAGTGAGCCTTTGGAAAAATTATTTCCCCACATCAGCCTGTTTGGTTCATTGTACACCTACCTGCTTGAGACAACACAGATGTAAGATGTGCAGGAGGCTGTCTGAGGACTGAAGYGATGGTAAAGCATAAAAATCTTCCAGTAAAACTTATTTGTGACARTTTCTTGGTAATTTAGCGGTGAGGATTCCACCTGTCACAAAGGTGAACAGGGTTCAACTCCCTGACTGGRAGATATATTATTAATATCATAATCTACGTCCCCCACAAAAAATAGCCCGTATTAAATCTCTATATGTKTATTGTCCACCCCAACAATAGCTGCCTTTCCAATGACCATGAAAATGCGCAAATTAGAATTTCAAAAATCAATTTGTTCAATGGAAACAAAACAATTTTGAAAAAAATTAAGTTTTTCGACAAAATGTTTTTGCGCTAGAAAGAGGTGGTTTTCCGGCCGTATCGAAATTGATGTATTTCGCAAAACTACAATGGAAACACTTTTTTCGCATTGCAGGAGTCACGTGATCAACAAACGGCTGTTTCTACTGGCGAAAAAGATGGCGACGAAGAAGACAACAGGAAGTAGAAGTCGTAGTGAAATCACCAAAGTAGTAAAAGAAAGTATTAAACTCACCGACTACATTTTCCCAAAAAACGCAACATACATAGCCGCTCCCAAGTATAAGGGGCTCGTCACTCGAAAGCCTTGATAAGACGCCGACGTCTCCTCTGATGCCTGATGATGAGCACTAGTG